CAACAAGGGCTAAGATTTTTAACCCAAACTTTGCCAGTTTATTGGGACTGCCTGAAACCGCAAAGCCCTCTAAAGGTTAGAGTTTTTCATCAACAGTACCACACTTCAATATAGTGTACCAATTTCATTTCAATGGTTCAGCATTTAACACTGATTCCATTTTTACACCTCATGATAGTTGGCACTGGGGGATACAGTAAAATTGTGGTGGTGATGATGGTGATGGTGATGATGATGATGATGATGATGAATGATGAAATAGATATGCACAACATAACCAGGCCCGAGCTGGGACTGGAATCCGCGACCATTGGGTCACGACTGCCACTGCTCTTCTGCCTTAGCAATCTCGATCTACAAATCGGCTATTATTATTATTATTATTATTATTATTATTATTATTATTATTATTATTATTAAATCTGCTATTATTATTAATATTGTTTGGGTAGGTTGCAAGAACAAATTGTTGACATTACTAAATCGCTAAATTTTAGGAAAAAAAGGTTACTGAGTTTGAGACTCAGAAATTTGAAGCTAACAAATATTTTCAATAAAAGTACAAAATTTGGGAATGTTTCTGTTATTATTTAGGATTCTATGATCAGAAATTTGGGAATTAACGTAGTTATAGAAGCTGTTTGCTTTGGTAATTACTATTACTAAAATACTAACTAATCTTTAAAAACGCTTAAATTTTTTCCCTTCTCATTATTTAATCACGATTGTGCAAATAAATATCAAGACGCACTCTTTGATTATTTCTAACTTCATCGAATGTTGTCTTCACCTAGTGTTTTTTTTTTGATACTGCACTTGGTATATTTTCTTTGACAACAAAAGATATATTGAGTTTGCTGACAGTTGCACGTTATATATCTCAAATTTGCTATTTGTGCAGTCCTAAAAGAGTGAAAAAGAAAAATGTGGGCAAGACCGATCATGGGCATCAGAACTTGCTGAAGCATCCACACCAAATGCCAAAAGACTAGCTGGCAAGCAATGCTTATTTGACAATGTGCAACAACTGTGATTTAAAACAGACTGATCGATCTCAACAAATCCGCCTTCCTTTCATACTAATTATATTAACAGCTCATCAATAAAAATTCTTTCTGATAATTAATTCCTAAACAAAATGAATTTGTATAAATCATATTGTGAGAAATGTATTTTGATTTTTATAATACTGATGAGAAAGCATTTAAAGAAATGCATAAGTGTTAAATGACACACTTCATAATAATTAAATGTGTAGTTATTATTTTTATTTAGTGATTAATTACAGTAAGTCATAAGAAAATCATCAATACTATTTGAGTTTGAAGTAGTACTGGATTATTATCTTCTTTTAAAAAAAAAAAATTGTTTTATTCCTTTTATTATTTTTTTTCTTGCCAGACTTGTTCCTAAAATCAGTAGATAAGTTTTGATATTCCGCTTTTATTATGGAAGTAAATTCAATTAAAGATGAACTGATAGTTCTTTGCATAAAATTTTACTTCTACACTAGTAGGTTCCAAGCTGATTATAAAAGCTTTTAAATTTGGGGGTAGTGATATTCAAAAATCTAAAGATTTTTTTTACTATATTGTAGTTGAGTTATTGAAGTAGCAATAAACATCGGTAAAGAATGTTTCATTCTTAGAAAGAATATTTATAAAGGAAATAATTCCCCTAAATTGCCAAATTTTTGATGCGATAGTATGTATTTGTGACCTGATTCAAACTTGAAAAAGATTTGTCACATTATTATTCATCTAATTCAAGACTAAGGATGATATGGGTCGGTTGATAATTAAGTTTACTCCAGGTTGCAACCAGCTTCCTAAGGAGCAGATCTAGGGACTGTTGATGTCTCTATAACTCTGCACAAAATGTGGGATGTTCCAAACAAAGCATTGTCTTGCACTTCTCAGTTTTTATTATCATTTATTGTCACCACAGTGCGTTTTTATATAAAATATATTACTGATTTCTTTTAAGTTGTGAATACTGACAGGTAGAAATGTCTTATAACAAATTAACATGAAATTAGTGAAAGAGGGCGATTTACACATTAAAATTTGTGTGGGGAAACTGGAGATGAAAAAATTTCATTATTATTGGGGGTACACTATTAAGTACTCAGTACATGAAAGGCTTGTCATCAACATTTTGTATATGACATTTTAAATGTTATTTACAGAATATAAAAATATCCTAGCAATGGGTTTCAAAAAGACATCGTATCACATTTGTCATCACTATTTGTATATAGAATTTGAAGTATTTATATTTTTCATATATGGTCACCCATGGTTTACAGTGTGTGGAGCCAGTCTTTTGTGGTAGTGGTTGATTTGGTCTAGTAATGCTTGCTTCTTAATAGCGTATATCATGCACTGTTACTGGGTTTTGTAATGAGTTTAGAGTGTAACTAACCCAAGTTGTCTTGTATCACGTATTTGTTGTAAACAATTAGAATTCAGTATTAACAATTATCTTAAGGTGGATTGAATTTTGTAGTCCTTCATGTCCTTTAACAAGTAACAATTAATTATACAATGCAGAATAAGTTAATTTGAATTGTGAAATAGTTTTATTTATACTACTGTTTTGTTAGACGATTACTGATGTTAAAATATACTTATAAGTGAAAATATGCAGTTTAATGATCATTTACAAACCGGTTTGACTAAGAGTGGCGATTGGTGATGGTGGTGATGGTTCTTCCAGAGACGTCGCCCGTTCGATGTCGAGCGTGCAGGCGAAACTGCTTAGCCTGGCTGGCGTCCCCAAGGTGAACGCTGCAGAAGTTACCAATGACCGGTCAAGGTCACGGTCACGGTCAAGGTCCAGGTCGAGATCCAGGTCCAGGTCTTCGTCACCCCATTCTCGATCCCAGTCGCGTTCCAGGTCAGGGAGTCGAAATGGCAGCACATCTCCTGTGCGATCTAGGTATGACCATCACCACCATTGAAGGAGACCACTCATATGGTGTCAACTGCATCATGAATGTGTGTGGATATCTTCATATGTATTCAACTGGCACAGCTGTGGTGGCAATTTTTCTTTTTTCTTTTCTGTGCACAGAAATTTATACTGATGAATTTGATGATTTATATGAAAGAAAATTAATTTTGTCAAAGCGTATGATAAGTAAAGTAAGCTCCTTGGGTAAAAGTGCTGATAATGTTTGAACTAATTTGTTCAGATCTGAACGTCAATCTCAAGGACTAATCATCTTTGAGAAAAGCAAATTGATTCTTAAAACTTAATTGGATGTTCGGTACAAAACTTTGCACTGTGAGTTTAGAGTACTCTTGGGCAACTTGGGCATCATGTGAATAAAAAATTCCTTTGCAGATTTAATCATGAATGAATTAATACTAAAATAATATTTTTGTAGATATTTCTGCTTTTTCTGACATACGTAGAATTAAAGAAAATTAATTTGGTAGGTATATTTGTCTCACCTTACCATTGTAATTTTCTGGATCAGTTGAAACCTAATTAAATAAATTTTCTACACTTAGCATCTGTGTCATCAAGAACATATTTGTAATTTTTGTGTGTGAATAAACTCTGTAAATGATGCAAAACTACTATTCCCACCTCACTGATTGGTTTGGACATCAGGATTTTTTCTGTGAATTGGGCATAATCAGCTGTTTTTTCTTATGTCTATCTTATATAGTAAAAAACAGCGCCATTACATTTTATGCACAAGTTTTGGACAAGTTGGTTGTGATTTTTCCAGGAACAATTTGATGCCCTGCAAGTGACAAACTACAAATTTCACATTATTCATTGGTTTCGCTATTAAAACATTGTCGTATTTATTGTTATTCATATTATTAAAAATAACCTAGTGTAAAAATATAAAAATAGCTTGCTTTTGTTTCCTAATTTAAGACTTGGTTTCCCATACCCTTTCAAAACAAAGTTGTTAAAGGGATGTTTTATATTTTTTATGGTAGCTAACAAATCATGATCCTATTTACGTGCAAAACATTTAGAGAAGTACTACATAATGATTAATATATTTCTTTCTTGATTTTGATTACAACTGTGGCAATGTAGGTGGTAGATTTTCAATTGAAAAGGTGTATGATACATCTAGGAAATAGTTACTTATAATAACTCGAAAACTAAATAGTTGTGACAATAGGGAAATTGTCTTCATTTAGTATCAAATTTAGGAAGTGTTCATGTGTATCAATGATATCCTTCATGTTTAAATTTTTATGTAAATTGAGTGAAAGATTTGGAAATAAGCCATGATCCCTTAATTAAAGATTAAATTGTATTATTATTGACGATTTTGCTTCTGCTTTTTGCAGTCAAGTTAAATGTAGGAGCATATGTGCTTGAATTATGATGAGTGCGTGCTTTCTCTAATTGCAAATACGAATGAAAATATTAGGTCATTTTTTTTAATAAAAATGTCTTTGCCAGACAAGCTTTTGGTTTTATTTACTTATTTGTTTAATTATACCAACCATTGTCCAATTGCAAACTGTGCAGGTGTGTGTAAACATTTATTTAGGAACATAAAAAATTTTTTGACATACCTTTAACACTTGTCATAGAAATTACTCTTTTTGGAATATGTCATTTCTGAATATTCTTCCTCCCATTTTTTTCTGTAAACATAAACGTAATATGAGATTATCAACATACATGAACATCTGTGATATTTTCATAACATCTTATTTTTGGTAAAACTATTAATTAGTTTTAATATTTGTGAAACTTAATTATATTTAGTTTTATGATTTTTCACATTGCTTAAAATACATTAATTCATACACCTTTTATTTTTTTTATTAATTTTTAAATCGCATAATCGCAAGGCCTTTAGAGCCTCAAAATTCTTTTGATTTATTGTTATCTTAACTTTTGAGTCAATCTTGTAATGCAGATAATTTTGATACTGTCCAAAATATGTGAAGAATAGTGGGGGAATCCTTTAAAACTAATATAGAAGTTAAGAAATGCTTCTGTGCATGTTGTAGGTCAGCAAAGAAATCTCCTGAACCTGATGGGAAGGATCATAAGAAGAAAGCTTCAAGATCCCCTTCTCGATCAGCTTCACGTAGTTCCTCATCTTCCAGTGAAGAGCGCTCTTCAAAGAGCAAAGGGAAAACTGCTGCAAAAACAAATCAACACAGATCTCAGTCTCGCTCTAGGTCACGTTCAAATACTCCTGCTAAGTCACAGTCTCACTCTCCCAAGCGAAGGTCTCATTCTCCAGCCAAGCGGAGATCAGCCTCACGTTCTCCTGCCAAAGTGATTAACAAGAATGAAAGGAAGCGGTCACGAAGCTCTGGGACTCAAAGTAGCCGATCTGCATCATCTTCCTCAGAAAGCTCAGAGAAAGGAAGAGGTAATGAAATTATGGTCTCTAATGTATTACAGAAATAATAGAGAGGTAAACAATGACAGTAGGATATAAAAATTAATGAAAATTATTGGATGATTTAATTTATCGGAATTTAAAGTTTTATATAATGTAAGGGAAAGAAAGTGATTTATATTTCATTCTTGAGTGTTCTTGAGACCATGTTTTGTCGTTTCAAGATTTAGATTCCAGATTATGTACTAGGGGCAAGAAAAACTATTAAGTTGGGAACATATTGAAATAATAATTAAAAAAAAAAAAATTGTATTGCTCAAATAATAATAAAATGTATGAAATTCTCTTATTAAATGAATTCAATTATGAAGAACAAATTATTTAATGTTTCTTGGATTTTTCCTAATCCATTTGAATTGTTTGTACAATTCAGACTCGGTTTTAAATCTCTGTGTGTTTTTATGTTAAGGAAAAGATGACGACTTTGAAATTCACAAAAAAGAAGATAGTGTCCAGAAAAAACGTCATTATCGTAGTAATAATAAAGGTGATTCCTCAGCTAGTGAATCCGAGCCAGAACGTGATGTTAAAAAGGTAGCTTATTTTTATATAACATTCTTATACAAATATTATTTTCTATTTTGAAGAAGGCACTTTGTTTATCTTTAAGTCATTTCAATTATTAAATGCTTCATTTTGTTAGTAGCGTAGTTGTAAAGCTTAGTTTTAAAAACTTTAATCATTTACGTTTGTTTGAAGAAATGAAAAAAATAATGTAACTATTTAGTAAGAATTTGAAAGTTGTGTACATCATTTTACAATTTTTTACAGCCTATTTTCTTTTTTCAGGATCGAAAACTTAGATCTAGTTCCCGTTCTCCTTACCGAGGCAGGCACCACAGAGGTGCCAGCAGGGACAGAGATAGAGACAGGGAGAGAGAAAGAGAACGAGATCGAGAACGAGACAGGAGGGCTAGGTATCGCCGTTCTCCAGAAAGGGATCGTGATCGACACCGCATGAGAGACCGTGATAGAGAAAGAGACCGTGATAGAGAGCGTGATAGAGACAGAGAACGTGACCGGGAACGTGAAAGGGAGAGAGAAAGAGAGAGAGAAAGACATCGAATGCCTCCACCTTCTTCCAGAAGACATTCCTCAAGGAGGAGGTGATTAACTATATTATTTAAGTTTTATGTAGATAGATAAAATAAAAGAGAGAGAGAGACAGAGAGGTCACGGCAATGTAATAACTGCTGTTACTATAGTTTTGTAAATTATGTCAGAAACAAAGTTTATTAATATAAAACAATGTTTTATTAATATAAAATTGGTTAATACAACTTTGATTTAGTCAGTCGTGACTTGTAAGCCCAAGAACAGATAGAGCAATGTTGGCAAAACTCTCTCTTCCCTCCATCTTCTGTAAAATTCCCTCATGGACAAGATGGAAAGGAAGAATTACTGATTTTGATTTAAAGTTATTGAAATTAGAAAATGTCACTAAATCTTCATCATATTCCACTCCCTCAATTTTATATTCATTTTAAGCATAGTAAGTAAAAGATTTATTTAAAGTTTATTATTTATTTAAAATTTATTGTTTTTAAAATGTGTCTGCTTTAACATTGGTATTACAATGTTCTAAGAAGATCATCTTCAAATTTTTCACGCGAAATCTTTCTCGATTTTCTCAAAAGAGGGCTTTATAACATGAAAAAGTATGTTCTACTACACAAGACGTGATTGAGGTTTTAATATTTGGATCATTGAGCAGTGACTGTAGAATATCGATTGAAGAAGCATCATTTTTGTTGAGATCTGAGATACCAGATTTGAAACCTTCAAAATTGTGTGCATAGTGCTCTGCAGCCCTCTACCGCGTCCCCCATCCCCCATCTTGTTACCCCTGGGTGCAATGGAAGAGAAAGATCAATATTCTTTGTCTTCAATAAATCAATTTAGTTGGAGATACACCAAACACTTTCCATTCAGGATGAGTTTATCTATGTTCGGGTAAAGCATATGTATTTTTTCACAAACTCTGTGCAATGTGTGAACTACGCAAGTCGCGAGAATCAATTTGAGATAACTCTTGTGACCTGTGGCCTTCATGTATGCTGCTGCATCAGTCAGAAGCGAAACATTGTTGTGCTTTACCCCAATAGTTCAAAGCAAATGCATTGCCTCATTAAACAACCTTGCAAAATGTAATCTGATTTGTCACAGTCATTTCCTTGTACGTCAGAAGAAAGCATTTTCTTTCACATTCTTCGAAGGGGCTGTCGGTAAACCAAGGACAACATTTATGACTTTGTTCCAGTAGTCGGTTGTTTCATTGATACACACCCATATATTCTCTCTTGACAGACTTTACGAATGTTATAAAGTTTCTTCATAGCACTGTGGAAGATAGTTCTTATGCAGTGTTGATTCATCAGGGAGATCAATATTCGTGTATTTGACAAAAATTGTTATAATGAAGAATTGTGTAACTTTAAATGGTATGTTAGCAGAAACAAAAGCCCGATACAAATATGTACAATACAGGAGAATTTAGAAGGTGTACTTGTGCTGGTTGGATTTGATACACAAACAAATGTTTGTTTATCTTTCGTATGTGTTGCATTTTATTGCTGCTCAAATGCTGGATAACTTGGGAATGCTAGTCAATCACAATGGATTTCTCACAAAGGTGGCAGAATAAAACTCTTCTATTACTGGTAAAAACTTCTCCTAATTCCACTGAGTATTTATTCAAACAGTTCTCAGTCTTCATTGTTACCTTTGGATTCTTTGCAGTCGCGGAAAGGGGGGCAAACCCAAATGTAATTCTTCCACCACTGGGCATTTGAGAGACTGCCTGTCGTCTGACTTCCACTACTCTTTTAAATAGAGACTAAATTCCAGAAGGATTGAGTGATTTTGTGTTCAGCAATAGCAATTTTGAGAATATACAGGCGCTCAAAGGTGACAGATGCCACAATATCTGTAACGGTCTCAACTACAATACCGATTCCAGGAATATTGCCCATATGTGTTGCGAGATACTGACCAGCAGCGTGTGCCAAATTCCAAGAAAACACTGCGAGTAGAATATTGTTTCTTTTCTGAATTGGTTTCAAACACTTCTGCAGGATGTTTCCCCCCTTGAATCCACCCCTGGTTTTCTCGTAGTCGACAAAGCATAATTGGTAACACTGCCACTTAAAAGAACTTTCATCAGAAACAATAAATTTTGAAAACTGAAAACCTTGATCAAAGAAGTCCGGACTCACATATAGCAGTTGAAATATTGTTTATCTAAAAGTGTCTAGAGTCCAAATGTGGTCTTTACTTACATTTCTTTAAAAGTCTCTTAGCCTTGTTTTCTTCTGAGTATTACACATATACTAATAGTCATTGTGATAAACAGTATTTTTTAAATAATTATAATAATAATAATAATAATAATAATAATTAATATTATTATTAAAATATGTAAATTGTGATTGTAACTAAGATTAGTCTATTGAAATTTAGATTTATAAATGAATTTATCTTTTTATTTTATTTTTAAAAAAGATAAACAGGCTAAGTAGCCCAATACATATATGGAAACTGTTCGTATTACAAACTCAATCATTGAATAATAAATATAAAGTAAGAGACAAAACCGAAATGACAATTTCAAAATTAAGAAGCATAATACGAATAGAAATAAATTTAGCAATAATTTATAAATGATAATACTTTCAGAAAATGAGTATAGATTAAAATACAGATCACTACATGTTATGATTGTTTGCAAGCCTGGGAATCGTGAAGACATACATAAATTGAGATCTACAAAAAATTTCATTTTTAATATTACATGGATTTGAATATTCAGCTAATAGATTCCTCATTGCAGCACAATCAATCAACCCAGTAAGAAGTTTGTTTGTTAAAAGTACATCATTTGTCACTCGCAGATTCCAGTGATTCACTACTTTAGGAATTACTAAGTAGTTATTATTATATCTGGGATTTGATAGATTAGCTTTACATACTGCATATGAGATAAAAATATACTGAACCCTTTCAATCCTATTAATTAGATAGTACTAGGAGACCATACTGAAGAACAATGCATGAGCTTATATTTAACTGGAGTTGTATAATATTGAGAGTGCTTTTAAGTAAGTAAATTTAGTTGTTTGTCTTTCTACAGAACACAATAATATTAAAGAACTGTTTATGACATAATAATGTGTTAATCAACAATAATACCCAAATCCTTAATTTCAGAAACACACTTTAAGTTTAATCCATCAATAGTATAGGTTGTTCGTAATAACATCCATTTACATTACAAAACAACTTCCATTTCTTTATATTTAAATTAATACAATTTCTTTGACACCCTTGTACAAGATCATTCATGTAATGCTGCAAAAGTACAGCATCATTATTGTCTGATATTACCCTCCAAAACTTACAACCATCAGCAAATTAGCTAAAAGAGCTGTTTTTAAACACTAACACACACAATTTATAAATATTAAAAAACTAAGGACCAAATCAGGAACTGTGTGTACTGACGTAACTGATATTTTGTGACATTTGAAGTTTTATTTTCATTTAAAGTTATTTTCATTTTTATTATACCATTTAACCTTTTTCCAGAAGTCCAAGAAGAAGTCCGATTCGGAGTCATAGACGATCAGCCTCTCCTCGTCCTGCACGATCCAGTGTAAGTTCATAATGTTATTGACATTCTTTTACATTAAATGATTGTTGCAGCTGGTGTATTAACATTCTATGATTTTCTGTTGTGTTTTTAGTGGTAATGGAAGTGGGCAAAATATAATTTATATAGTACAGATTAACATACCACTGCAGCATATATTTCTGGAATAATTGATATATGTAATATTATATAATGTAACATTGTCATTCTTAATCTAATGAAAGGGCACAGGAAAAAAAATATATATCTCAAGTATAAGTAGACTTTAAATATGACGGCCCTTTAACTTTGAAGAGGCCTCCTGAGAATTTTTTGATTTTTAAAAGTAAAATATCACTTACAAGTTATTTAGTGGACTTGAGAAAAAAACATATAACTGAAAATAACACATTACTGAAATTGAATATTATAGGCAAAATAAAAATCCAGTATTCAAGCACTTGATGTCTCAACTTTTCTACACTACTTGCATTAGGCCAATAATTGAATGGAGTTACTACATCTTAAGAACTTCACCCAGAACCTGACACTCATATACAGTATACTGAGGAAATCTTCAAGATACGTTCCTGCCCTGTGACACCTGTCATGCCCTTAGGGACTTGAAGCATTCAACCTGTCCACTTCTAATGATGCGATTTTGCCAGTAGTTCTGATTGAAACTTAAAAATACTTAACAACCATGACAATTGCCCAGGTTTTGATGATTTCTTCCTTCATGGTCATATTTGTAAGTTGAACTAAGACAATTTTTTGTGCCATCTGTACAAGTGATTCCTGTCAATCAGTTGTTGATCACTGGAATTGCCTACTTGGTGTTGTTATCGATGTTCCCAGCATTGACACATTTAAAAAAAGTTTAGACCAGAATTGTCCTGTCATTTATCATATTTTGTAAATAAATAAATATTTTTTCGTAGGCACTTGCTTCTTTTGTATCTGCTCACAGGAACTTCTACCAATGTTACTTAGAAGTTCCATAGGCCAGGCATAGGCATGCCAGGTGGAAAGATGGTGCTGATATATTTGCACTTTATGCAGCTAGTCCTTTAATGTCATTATAAATATTTGATTTCCTTGTGTTTTCAATATTTCCTCTAATGCACCGAATTTTTATCAGGCAACATTGGTGGGAGGGCTTCATGTCAAGTACGTCCCAAAATTAAAGTATCAGTTTCAATTCTGAAAGGCTATGACATTATTTAGTTCAAGTAGTTCAGTTGTGGGACTTTGTCAAATTAATTTTGAATAATCTAAGATTACGTCCATAGACTGACCATTATTCAGGGCTTTAGTCCAAAACTGTTGATGATCTTTCAGCAACTTATGGTTCCAGCACATATTGGTCATTAAAATAGGTAGTTGATTAATCAAGATCCATAGGTGACCTAGGGTGTGAACTGCAATGTTATCATGGCCATATAAATTATACGTGTAAACAAAACATTAGTATGACATGAATATGGCTGCAGCATTGCATATAATGAATTTTGTCAGGAGTATATATTTTGCAGGTGTTTTAGATTTTCTAAGACTTCTCTCACGGTTTCTCTGTAGAGCTTATTGTAAATTTGTATGAAAATGGAGTGATGGGATGTAATACAGAGAAATAGTTAATCTGTGCCTTTAACATTAGGAAAACAAAAAAAAATTATCATTATTATTGAACGAGCAATCATGTACTGTATTTTGATAAGATTTCAGTTGGTGGAAGGTACATTTCCAATACAATTTCTGTCATTTACTCCTTAATTAAACTGTTTTTGTTTTGGTTTCATTTCCCAGTCTTCATACAGGGATGTCCAATGTTTTTATCTTTGTGGATGGTAAACAGTGATACACAGAGAAAAGAATACATTTCCACAAAACATGAAAACCATGGAAATTAAAATTTGGAATTACTTGTAATTGTACAATTGTATGTTGTTCTGACCATTTTAGAATCATGACCATTGATGAATAATAAAATAAAATTGGTTCACGGGATAGGTCATTGTGGTTAGAGAAACAAAAAATTGTGTGCAACTTATTGTTTCTCTAACCACAATGACCAATCCCGTGAACCAATTTTATTTTGTTGTTCTAATCGAAAGCGTTGGACTGAAGGCAGAAATTTATAATGTAAACATTAATTAGTAATGATGAATGATTGTGGGTATGACATATTTTAGATTTGGTAATTAAAAAGATGGCTTATTATTTTGTAGCGTGGTCTCTCACCTGAACGAAGACGTCCTTCACCTATACGTGATGAAAAGCGAAAGAAACCTCCAGCAAGATCGGAATCAAGGAGTGTCTCTCCTCCTCGTGGCAAACAGAAGGTAATAAAAACTTTTCTGTATAATAATTGACATTAAAGTACATATTGCAAAGAGAAATAGAAAAATTGTTGCTTACGAAGTCATGAACTTTGATTGGTTTCTATTTACAATATGTTTATTACAAAATGAGTATTTCTTCTCTATTTGAAAGTTATATTTTGTAATTGCTTGTTGTTTTTCCACAGTTTTCTCGCAGCTTGTCTCGTACACCATCTCCCTTTCGGAAAACTGAGGACAAAGAAAAAGAGACCAACAGTTCTGAGAAGAGGATAAGTAAATCAAAGTCAAGAAGGTAAATATTTGATACAGAAAATTATTCAAATTCAGTGAAATCTCTTTAGCACGTTCCCCGTTTTCAAGTACATAAGTAACCCTCTTAGTACTTGCATATTTCCAAGTCCCTATCCCAAATGCATCAAACTATTCGTTTGAACATGTAACAATCCCGCGTAGTGCATTCAAAATTTGTGTAGGTAATTTACTTCATGAGAGAAATGTTTCCCGGTTCACCTGTGTCATCATTGTGTGTTGTTTTCATGGTAGTATTGGGTATTACTTTCACATTGATTCCAGACCGAGAGAAACGTGTTTCGCTGTGCCCTCCGTGCCAAATTCTTTTTCTGTTTGGTCTGTTCACATGAGCGTTACATTGACGCCCTTTACCTGAGGCTGCTGACGTCAGCTGCATTGATGCCTGCGCACAAACACACACACGTCACTTAATGCGTGTCATAGATTTTGTTGCAACACTTTGTCGCAAAACAGTACACAAGCACTCTTAGCAATGTGCATTGTGCTCACAACTCAAGTATGACTGAAGCTACTACACAAGTCAAGTACCATTTTTTCTAGCTTTCAACAAGTAAAGCATATTGGCAACAATGCACCTTGCTCTTTTGAATAAGATACTGTTAATATATGCCATGCATTATGCGTCTTGTGTGCACTGGCATTAATGCAGCTCACATTATTAGCATTTGTTGATGCGTATGAACGCAAAACTTACGGGCCACTGGCATAATGTGCAATGCTTTGTGCATGTTTTTTGTGTAATTTAGTTTTATTCAATGTCATTTATGAATGAATTAGTTCCTCCTGAGCATAAGTTCATCCTGCAGATATTTGCATGTTATTTACATATCCATTAGTTTTGTCTATTGTATTCGTTTGCAGACATCAATATGAAAAATTTGATTGTGCATAAACTGAGTGTTTTTTATTAGGTTGTCCAGCATTCAACATTCAAAATTTTCAGTTCCTAGAAAAACATACTAACAGAATTTCCCTGCATAAAGTTGGAATGTACTACATGCATTAAAAATTTTCAGTAATTTTTTTCTTCAAAAATACAATACATTTTATCATATAAATGGACATTGTTTTAGGTCTCCATCAGAACACAATGAGGATAATGAAATACTTAAGGAGAGCTCCAAAAGGAAAGTTCACAATTCACGATCTCGCTCACCTGATAGGAGCAAATCAAAAGGCAGAGAGCGATCTTCTGAATCACAGCCAGTTGAGAAAAATTATAAGAAATCATCTGCTGTGTCTCCTGCTGCATCTCGTGAAGACATACATGAAAAATCATCAGGAAGGAGCAAGTCGGAAAGAGATGATGTCTCCCCTATTAGAGACACGTAAGCAACATTTTATTTTCAGTTCTAATGTATATTACTTATTTACAATAACGACAGTAAACTCAAATAGAAGAAAACAATTTTTCAGTTCTGTATTTTACTTGGATATATGAGAGGGGGGGGGGGAATTAGAAAATTTAAAGATTCCTTGAATGTGAATTTGAATGGTGTCAAATGCTACAGAAACAGTAGAGTTAACTTTTATTATATCATTCTTACTAAATGTTTCATTAAATATTTCTTCATAATGTACTGCAAAAGCCTAACCTTCATTTCAAACCTACGAGGTTCAAGGCATTTAACAGCAATGATTTAATTTGCAATGTGGCTTCTCAATGTACTTCTGGTCAGGAGAGCCGACTTCGAAACTATGTATTTGATACCCCATTCTCTTCCCGCTCTCCTTTTTCTCTTCCCGCTCTCCTCTCTCTCCCTCCCTTTCCCTCTCCTTAATTTATACAGTGGTTTGTTGTTCTTAGTTACCAGTGTCAGGATCTCTGCCATGGAAGACTTTTCGTTATGTAATAATCCTCCTGTTTGGTATGTTGTTGAAGTGAAATATCTCTTCCATAAATGGAGTAAATTTGGGGTACAATTAAATAAAATAGACTTTAGTATTTTTGAGTAAAGGAATTGACAAGTGTTTTGCCCAAAATGAAAATATAACCGTGACAGTGATCTCCTGACACACTTGTGGAAATTACACATGTGAAATTGTAGTCTAAACTATGTATATCTGTTTAAACTGGAACCTGCACAAGTCAGGAACCTTTGTTAACTGGAAAATTTTTCCGGCTTGTGAAGTTAAATGGCGTTTTACACAGCATAAAACGGAACCTCTCCAACGGAACAGTTTTTCATGTCCAGCAGAAGAAAAAATCTTTTTAAAACGGAATTTCAGTGATTTTAATGCAATTGGCAGAGAGATGCAAGATGATGTTAAAGAAATGAATGCATTTACTAGCTTGTTTTACATTTTCACCAACTCTGACACACGATTTAGCTGAAGGAGAGGGAAGTCCGCTCTCAGTGTAGAATTTGACCTTTGGGTCTCTTGTGTCTCAAGGCATAGACATTTGGCGAATTTCCTCTCTTCCAACTCTCTGAATTTGAATACAGTCGTGGCTTCTATTCACATGTCGTCCTGCCCCATGTTGAAAACCATAATCCAGATACGCAATTGCTCAATTGTGCTTTGAAAGAGTCGGCAAGCAGTCCGAATACAGCCACTCGGCATAAAACAGAAACCTCCCTAAACCAGAATTTTTTTTGTGTCCTGATAAATTCCGTCTTTCACAGATTTTACTGTATTATTGGTACTGTAGGTTTTTTATACTATCTGATGCCTTGTTTAGTGTTTTCAACCAACCTGGACTCTAGATTTATGCAAAACACCTCAACTAGTGACAAAAAATGACAGAAAAGAAATAAATTGCTAGAAAAAAATTTTATTAATGTCAGGAAACCATTACAATGAGATGATGATACATTACATAAGCTTTTGTAGTAACATTGCTATTCGTGGCTCTGGTCACTTGCAATCATATAGTGAATACATTGAATTTGAACTCTGAATATCATATTTCAACTCTTTTCCATTAGTCATATATGTCAATTAAGTCCTAACAAGGAGACTAGATTACCTATTAACTTCTAACTATTGAGTTTTTTCATTATGCAGTCCTGATGGTATGGACTTTTTTTTAAATAGACGAACACACTTTACCCTCAGTTGACTTTTAATCACAGCAAGTGTCTATGAGTCTCGAGGCTGGCTAATCTTGAGTAGAAAAACTATGGCACCTTATGAACAATGGGCCACAATGAGGCGATTTGTATATATGAGCTAGAATAAGTGTGATGTGTATGAATGGACACTTGGAAACAGTTTATATGCAAATGCATATAATTGCCGCAAATTATTGAAATATTTAAATGACAATACATTATTTTTAATGTTTTTATTGCTCTAGATTCGATTTTACCATCCTGGATGGACTTCCATAATGACATGCTGCTCTTCAATGCACATATAATTGCCACTCATGATTGAAATAAATTAAATAAGAATACACTATTTTTCATGTTTTTATTGCTCTACATTTGATTTTACCATCCTAGATGAAGTGCCACAGTGACGTGCTGCTGCACAAACTATAGCTATTTCTAACAGAAATAATTATTAGAAATGCTTTTCAATAATGAAATAATACATGATTGAATATTTCAAAAATAAAATTGTATCGCTGATAAAAGAAGTGTAGTTATCGAAGATATTTGAATTTGCAATGCTATTGTTTTCCCACAGAAGAAAGATCCTCACTTACATTTAAACTTCTGAGGAACGTTAATCGGATGTCACAAGTAGTGTCTGAAGCCTATTCCTCTTCTTATTCTAAGATTTCTTCTGTGTTAGTGCTATCTCAAGGCAAATAAAGTGTTCCATGTCTGCTTATTTTGTTTCTGAAGCCACTGCATGCAGTAATTGGATGAACTGTAACGGATATTTACAATTGCTCATCTAGCACCTGGGGCCCCTTCTCTATGAATACCTTCCTTGCGTTTGCATAGTCAGGGGCTCCAGTATATGGGAATTGCCACAGCTCAATTTGTCATCCATATTAAGAAATAGGGAACTGTCACACGCCCCTGATCAGGTGAGAAATCTCCGCCATTCGTACCGTTGGGCTGAAAGATGTGGGAAAAAGTCTTCCATTCAGAACTAAAAAATTAAGTTACTTCAACTCTTGCAATACTGGAGAGAATTATATCATAATAGAAGAAAGATAAGTGAGGAATATTTATTATTGTATTGCATAGAATTATTATTGTAAATTTACATTAGCAGTCCATGAAGCATTTGACAATCAGAGATGAAGATTATTGTAATTATATTATAAATTATAGATAATACAGCATGATTTCTTAAAATATCAAATAATATCCACAATAAATATATAATATAAACACATTTGTATGGCCAACCTGATCTTAAACTCTAGCGGATTTTGTTTGCAGTAGCAGCATTAACAACTGTGTTTATTCCAGTTAGAGAGAGAACTCTTTTGTTTCTGTTCAGATGCGCTGAGAGGTTTTGTGTTTTGCATTTTTAACATTATATTCTTTGGTTCTGCATGTGTGTAAGTAAGTGTATGTTCAGAAACATTCAAAACAATCAAATATTCTCTTGAATCTAAATGTCAGTGAAATAATAGTTATTATATTTCTAGTGTCAAAGCTGTAGAAATAATTGTGTGTACGATTATCAAATAACGGTGGTCTAAAATGTCTTTGGAATCCAGTAAAATATGGCTTAAAACATTTTCTATTTTCCTCTCTAATTGTGCTGAAGTGGAGAGAAAATTTAATGATTTCCAGGGTTTCCTTGTATCAATTAACCTTTACATAACATGTCTTATATATTTGTGCATGATGAGCGTGGTATGCACAATCAGTTAACAAGAAAATGAAACCTTATGTAAAGTTTGTTTCTGTGAACCAACTTTTGGAATTGCTCATGAATCATCATGAACATTGTTAGTTTCAAAGAATACAATGCTCTGTGATCTTTAATTTGTAGGAGAAGATTTCACGATCAAGCAAAAAAACGGCTGAGTCACACCAGCTACACTTACAAGGAGAAAAAACACCTGATGACAAGAAGCAGCGTAAAGTCTCAAGTTCTGATCACCTTCTTCCCAAGAGAAGAATCAGAAGACAAACAGAGGTGAGTTGTGATACTTTTTAAAATCTTAGGTTTTGAAATATGTTGTGATAATGTTGAAAATACTATTCTTTCAAACTTTTCCAGAGTCGAGGGACAAAAACACGAAACGTCAGAAATCAGAAGAATCGAAGAGGAGCAACGCTGAGAAGGTTGTGAAAGAAAAACGACGTGCCTCCGTTTCAGAAGATGAAGTAAAAGTGAAGAAGAAGAAAAGAAGAAGCAGCGGGAAACTTCCAGTGAATCTGAACCTGTAAGTTTATAGTTCGTAAACATAAGTTTAATATCCTCAGTTCTCTTCCCCTCCCCTTACCTCACCTCTCTTCTGTAATCTCCCCCTTGTCTTCTCGTAATCTCCCTTTCTTTCGAAATCTCCCCTTCTCGTAATCCCCTTGTCTTCTCTCGTATCTCCCCTTGTTCTCGTAATCTCCCCCTTGTCTCTCGTAATCTCCCCTTGTCTTCTCGTAATCTCCCCTTGTCTTCTCTGTAATCTCCCCTTGTTTCTCGTAATCTCCCCCTTGTCTTCTCGTAATCTCCCCCTTGTCTTCTCGTAATCTCCCCTTGTCTTTCGTAATCTCCCCCTTGTCTTCCTCGTCAATCTCCCCCTTGTCTTCTCGTAATCTCCCACTTGTCTTCTCGTAACTCTCCACCTTGTCTTCTCGTACTCTCCCCTGTCTTCTCTACTCTCCCCCTGTCTTCTCGTACTCTCCCCTGTCTTCTCGTACCTCCCCTGTCTCCGTACCTCCCTGTCTTCTCGTACTCTCCCCTGTCTTCTCGTCTTCCCCCTGTCTTCTCGTACTCTCCCCCTGTCTTCTCGTAACTCTCCCCTGTTCTCGTACTCTCCCTCTTGTCTCTCGTATCTCCCCTTGTCTTCTCGTACTCTCCCCCTTGTCTTCTCGTACTCTCCCCTTGTCTTCTCGTACTCTCCCCCTGTCTTCTCGTACTCTCCCCCTTGTCTTCTTCGTAATCTCCCCTTTGTCTTCTCGAATCTCCCCCGCTTGTCTTCGTCCTTCTCGTAATCTCCCCTTGTCTTCTCGGAATCTCCCCTGTCTTCTCGTAATCTCGCCCCTTGTCTTCTCCGTAATCTCCCCCTTGTCTTCTCGTAATCTCCCCCTTGTCTTCTCGTAATCTCCCCCTTGTCTTCTCGTAATCTCCCCCTTGTCTTCTCGTAATCTCCCCCCTTGTCTTCTCGTAATCTCCCACCTTGTCTTCCTCGTAATCTCCCTTGTCTTCTCGTAATCTCCCCCTTGTCTTCTCGTAATCTCCCTTGTCTTCTCGTAATCTCCCCTTGCTTCCGAATCTCCCCTTGTCTTCTCGTAATCTCCCCTTGTCTTTCGTAATCTCCCTTGTCTTCTCGTAATCTCCCCCTGTCTTCTCGTACTCCCCCCCTGTCTTCTCGTACTCTCCCCCTGTCTTCTCGTACTCTCCCCTGTCTCTCGCACTCTCCCCCTGTTCTTCTCGACTCTCCCCCTCTCTCTTCTCGCCCTTCCCCCTCTCTCTTCTGCATCTCTCCCCTCTCTCTTCTCGCACTCTCCCTCTCTCTTCTCGCACTCTCCCCTCTTCTCTCTCGCACTCTCCCTCTTCTTCTCGCACTCTCCCCCTCTCTCTTCTTCGCATCTCCCCCTCTCTTTCCTGCACTCTCCCCTCTCTCTTCCTGCACTCTCCACTTCTCTTCTCGCACTCTCCCCCTCTCTCTTCTCGTACTCTCCCCCTCTCTCTTCTCGCACTCTTTCCCCCTCTTTCTCTCTCTCTCTCTCTCCTCGCACTCTCTCCCCCTCTTTCTACTTCTCTAATCTCTCCCCCTCTTTCTACTTCTCTAATCTCTCCTCCCCCTGCACTTGCCTTTATCCCCTCCCCTCATTGCACTTGCTTTTTACTCCTCTCATCTTCCCCTTCTCCCTTCTTTCTCTCTCCTCCATTCCCAAACTCTTGTTCTCCCCTCCAAACTCCTCTTCTCTCTTACTCTTTTCCCCTTAGGTTTCCTGTTTATCATTTAATGTTATTAAAGTTTTAGGCTGTTTCTTGAAACAATATGTTTTTGTTTCTCCTGCAATAACTTTCATATCCCACAATCTATTTATAATTTTCAGTCTGGAAACATCCTAACTTCGAATATTACAAAATGATTTTCTACTTGAAATTTCATTTATATCAAAAAACACTGATTGATCTGACAGGCATTAATGCATTTGTGGGTTAAATTCGGTGAGCGTTTCACTTCTGCTCTATTCAAAAGAAACTGTTTAGAATAACAGATTTGCAAATTTGCTACCATCTTATTTCTAAAGTTAATTCTTGGAAAAAATCTTAAAATAATGAGATACCACCATAATTCATTAGATGTCTAAAATTTCCACCAAAAAACAATTTGTTTGTATTACCACACTCTTAGGAACAAATTTTTTTAATGGTCTTGAATTTGAAAATTGATTGAAAATTGAATTGAAAATACAATACTCGTGAACTCTCATGACTTGTCACAATTGTTTTTGGTACCGAATTTGATGCCCAGAAGACCACTAGAAATTATTATAATTATTTATTACCTTATAATCTAACTGATAATTGTAATAATAACTAACTGAAATCTCTATGACCCTCCAATTCACCAACTGAAGTTCAAAAGTTCGAATTATCTTGTGAACATCCAGTCCAGAAAATCTGCGAAGATGATCATACAGGTACTCTTACAATTTTCTTGACTTCACTACACTTTCACAAAACTCTGCATGTTAACATTTAAAAGATGCTTGCAATGGCCATTGTGGCTTACCTTCTTGCTCCTTACAATCATCATGATCATGGTTTTTGCCAGTGCCCTAATCATCCTCCTTCCATGCTGCAACATCTGACATCTTCTTTGGTTAGATGTAGAATGCGTAATCTACCATTGTTGTTGTTTTTTTCATCTCTTGCAACAACAAAAAATAAATAAAAATAAAAATTCACACTCATCAGGTATCAAACCGAGAATCCGCACATTCTCATCGAACAGTCATTATGTATTTTCACCATCTCTGTAGTTTATTGTTACGTCAACATTAAGAGTTACCTGACAAGGAAAGGTCACGTAAAACCATTAATCCTAACCTACTAGGCTTAATCTGTGAATATTAGACGAGCATGCTTGTTCAACTTACATATGTAGCATAAAGAATATGTGTAAATAAATATTTGTTAAAATTTTAAGAAATTAAATAAAAAATATAAATAAACAATAGTCATGCTGTATAAATTGTTACAATAAATGGAATTTTTTTCATCAATTGTATATTGATGTAATCTGTTAGAATATAAAGATAATGTTCAATACTGATCTTTAGTATATTCTAAATTGTAATTAAATTATCGCAGTAGACTCTGTCGTCCACGGGTTATTCACAATGGCATGTGTACAACTTCTTATCAGAAATTTTCTTGCCTTTGCATCCTTCATTTTCTCAAATTGTCTCCAATCTTCTTATTAGGTGTAGATTATCATTGCCAAGTAATTCAGACTCTCATTATCATAAAGTTGAATGTAAACTAATGCTTCTTTTTTTTCCCTACTGTCATATAATAATTTTTACTTATTGCTTGTAAGGGATGTTTTGCATTATGAATTTTTTTAGGATGCAGTTGAAACGCCCTTTACAGAGCATTACATATGGGAGAAGGAATTATAGAGTACTCCAGATTTGAGTTTCGTATTTTACGGACTGCCCCAAATTCGGAATTTTTGCTTGCAGTTTGGCATTTCTTCTTCCTTATGTACTTTTGCTGTCCCATTTAGTTTCTCCAAGAGAAGAAACCCCTTTAAAATTGCTTTCAAAATTTCCTTTTTAACCTTTTGGAACTGATAGTTGGCTCAAGTTTTCACTGTATGCATTTTCCATGTTTTTTTGTTTCTTTTTAGGACAGTGAAGCTGAAGTAGAAGGCAAGAAAAAGAAGAAAGAGAAAAAACACAAAAAGCACAAGAAACACAAAAAACATAAGAAACATAAGAAGCGTAAAGTTGAAGAAAGTGAGGTATGTATCTCTGACAATTAAATATCACTTACTTTAGAAGAATCATCATTGGTATCATAAAAGTCTTCAAGTAGAAACATTTAGCATGAGTTTTGTGTGCTTATGTGATCGCAATAGTTGGGCAAAATTTATTATTAAGGCTATGGTACGTGAGGTCATCTTCATTAGAGAGGTTATTTTCGTGGCCCTGTCGATAGTATTTTATTAGTGCAATATAAATGCACATAAATAAGGTTAGGTAGCTTGATGAACGTGATTGTCACTTGAATTTCTTCGGTTGTTTGTGCTAGGACTCGGATGTCAGTGAGACTGAGAACACAGAGGAGCTGGAGAAGCAACTACGGGAACGTGCTCTGAAATCCATGAAGCGGGGGGAACGGGTTGCAAGTGACCACAGTGATGACAGCAAATGACCCTTAAATCCTAACCAGTGTGGTAAAATTGTGATGTAGAATGTGTGAACAAGGTGTCTGTGGAGAGAGTTCTTCGATAATAGGTTTTTGACAGGTGGTTGAACACTGAGTGCATTATTTCAAAGTTAGTCAGTAGAGTTCGGTTCTATTAAAGGCACTGTTGAAGCAATTGTGGGTTGGGAAGGAGACGTTGCTGTACATTGCAGGAAGTATTGTAATGCTGTGTATTTTGTGATTTACGAGGTATTTACCCTTTAGCGGTGGTTTCTTACTGGTACCAAGAGTAAAGTCATATAAATAATTATTATGTTCTTCATGTGGTTGCAATAAAATACATGAACCAAATGATTAAGGATAGTTCTTTACAATTTTCTCATTTCTTTGATGTCCTTTCTTGTGCATTGAATAATAGTAAAAATCTTGATTTTGTTTACATCGACAATAAATGTTACTCTGAAGGAAACTTATTCACACTTCATGTTTATAGTATTACATTTGTTTCCCTCTTATCATTATGTATGCCTTCTTTTAATATTCGTTTTCATTTACTTTTTTTGAAATAGATTCTACTGCCCAAGTCTTTGAGATATCCTTGATTGTATGGTTTCTAATTACTTTTAATGTTGTAAATTACTGACCTAGTTTGGTTTTTAATCTTTGTATATTGTATTTTTGAGAGAGAAAAAACAAACTTATAATGACCTGTTATTGGAACTAATTTTGAAGGTTGTTTCAACTGTTGGAACACAATACTAGGCGCCATATTACTTCTTAGAAAGTACCCATATTTGTGTTCTTTTTGCTAGGTTTAGATATATCAAAAAAACAAAACTAGCATTGTTTATGTTGCTCTTGCCCAACTTGATGTGCTGTCACTTGCACTTTTTCAGAGCGTGTGAATAAAATGATAAAATGTTTTGTTTCAGGTTAATTCGTCATAGAATGTCAAGAGTTTTAAATATACTTTGGTGTGAAGTGATTAATCTTCATTATGTGAAAGAATGGGAGTTAACTGTTTGTACAAATTTGATCGGTTTACTATGATTCTTAGTGTAATTACTCTTTGATTACTGACGAGCCTATATTTTTATTATCAAAATTTCAATACCAAATAGTGATTGTGACTTACTAATTTGAATGGCAGTTGTATTAGAGATCGAGACTAACTGAGCTCATTCTTTGTTTTGTATTAGCAGTGAAATGGGGCCCTAATGATGGTATGTATTATCTTCTATATACACATTGTTGTTAATCATTTTTAGGTCAAGGGCCACCAGTAAAGTAGATGATGTTTCAAAAGATTGGAATATTAAAAATTATTCAACCAGAACATTGGCATTGGTGCAAGCTATTTTGTAATAAGTCTGCAGCTAATGGATTGAACATTGAACTAGTTGGTATTAGCAACTAGGGATGTATAAACTTTGACTATTTGTTGAATTCATTCTCTAGAAGGGCATTCCCACATAATTTGTATGTATTTGTTTATTGATAATGTTCATAGCCGTTTTTAATTCTGTTTATGTGAGCATTTGCATTAAGTTTTCATTTCTTTTTCTGCTGTTGCTTCCTCATTACTTTGTTGGCATTGAGCGTGCTTTTCAGTCTTGTGATGAATACTGTTCATTTTTCATTAAAATCCGTAAAATCTGGAAATTGGATTTTAGCCATGGACACATGAAGAATTTTAGGTGAAATAAATTTTTTTCGTTGAATAATGTGTTTTTTTTTTATTTTTACCTTTTTTGTTCAATGGTCTGTATGAATATACATGTGTTAAAACGTTAGCTGCAGGTTATATACTTTTAAAATTGTCTATTTGTAAATTGCTAGAAAATTTGTGATTTTCATCTGACGGACATTTTAGTTACGTATGTTGGCACAACTGACCCACCTGTTGGTATGGTTATGGCGGTGATCAGAAGAGCGCGTTGAGTTCCGCGAGTTGGACGTCTTATATTCGAGGAAACTCGTGCTTCGGTGTGCTAGTGTGTATATCTCCTGTGTTTTCGAACATTCAGATTTTATTTACAGTTATGAATGAATTTACACTAGTCCCAAGGGAGGCTTTCCGGTCTGTGGTGAGTTCAGTTTATTTTTTCAGTTAAAAATGTGATCTGAAAGAAGTGTATAACCTCAGCGTGAGAGGTCCAGCAAACGCCGACTCCTAAAGGGGTAATGCACTTACGAAATAAATACTGACAGTGAGAATACACTACTTCAATGCAGTGCATTACTCATACATTTTTGATGTCCTTGGTTTAAATTTTGTTAGCGAATGACGTAAGTTCTAATTAATAACAAACGTGAGCAGTTGGTGAGGATTTGCAGAAAAGAACTAATATTTTTCAAAGTTGATAATTTTAAGTGGTATTATTTGTCAACTAATTTTTAGTTCTTAAATAAAGTGTAATCGTGCTTCAGTAATAGCGCCAATTTCTCATTAAGGTTTTGTTTATTTTTACGTCCATGTGGGAATTTTGACATTGAAGTAAAACAGTAATCATATTTTCATTTTATGTATATATTGCGTATTAAATGTAATTTTAGTTATTCACTTTGCAATTTCGCCACTTGCTAGACATATTACATTAAAGCTGTTGAAGTTTTCTGGCGTAGTATGTATGTGAAAATGACGTTTTCATCGTACTTTTAAGAATAGTAAAAGGAAAAGATTTATAAGGCGTTTATAACAGGTAGCGATATGAGGGTTTTAAAAAAAATTATATCAAATTGATTGCTAACCATTGTTTTTTATTTATTTTGTGCACTTACACATTTAAATGTTTTCGGGAAGTAATGGATAATCTTTCCGTAGTTATTGGGGACCTAAGTTTTTCATTTGGATATGATTCTCTTGCCATTCGTCTCGGGTGAATGGGAAGCGTCTTATTAAAAAAAAATATTTTTACTGTTGTCTGAAGACGTCTCATCATAGCCTGATATTTTTGTGATCTTTGAATACAAGTAAATGAATGTCACCCACTCTGTTCCTAAAACTGATCACTCCGTCTCTGTATACATTGTTGGGGAAAAGTTGTACAGTGTGGGATCGAGGTGTAGATCTGTCGCGCTTGTGCGCACAAGAGGTGTAGTGACACAGCCTCTATGGCTCGCACGTGCTTCGCTGGCGTTTGCATGCATTCTCCCACCCGCTCCACGCTCCTGTAGCCGCCGGGCAGGCAAGGCGGATGCCCTGGCCTTGCCTCCACTAACCCTAGAAAACTTAGTCTTGAGATTAATTGGACCACTGTTTTATTTCACTTCAGAGATAATTGGGCGCTTTATGATTTTGGTACGTTATCAGCTTGTTTTTAGGAAACCAAAATAGGTATTATGTGAGGTTTACTGTAATAAAGTATAAGTCTACATTTTGAAATGAAACATTCTTCACAATGCTATAACAGGATTTGCTTGTCGGTTTTCAGTATATTATATTAACTTTTTGATTCGGCGGTAAATATATTACATTGGACGGAAAAGTGTACAGATTCGTTGTAAAAGGTTTTATATATTTGCCATGTAATGGCGATTTGAATGCTGGAATGAGATGGAAAAGTCTGCGGTATAAATTTTCGTTCCCGTCGGCGGTGTGCGCGAGAATTTACTGGAAAATATGTGAAATGCCTGTTATTTTGTGTTAACCCTGACTCGGCAATGTTAGATTGCCCAAAAAATTAAATATCCTGTTACAATAATTCCTCTCGTCTTTGGTTGAAAATGTTTTCAAGTAGATACAGTAAATATTTTGGGTGGTTTAATTTTGGAAAGCATTTTTTTCCTTCAATGGGGAAATACATGTAAAGAAATACATATGGATGTTTTAATCTTGTCTGCATTCCTGCTACATAAGATCAGAGCGATTATGTTGATTTTTCATACCCTCTATATGTTTGTAATTTGTTCAATTTCCAGAAAAATAGACAAGTTCGCAAATGAGCAAACATTCTAAACTTGACAGGTCCACTTCACTCTTTTCCAATTAAAATGAAAAATATAACACACTTTATAATTTTCAACACAGTATTTAATTCAATGACTAGAATACTTCTTAAAGTAATGTAAGACATCCCAGGATTTTCCCTAGAAATAAAATTTTAGGAAAAAACACAATTCAGTTTTTTGCCAAATAGACGTCACTTTATGAATGTGCTCCTCGCATGCTGGTAAGTGCGGAAATGACCTATTGTAATCCTTCTTTAGAAATGAAACTAGCGGCATTACATTAGCACATACTTCCTCGCATTCTTTGCAACTTGGAATTGTCGAAAATTTGGACTGTTCAACGAATATGAGACCTGCGCCATTTTAGGCGTCCATTGTTTTGAGGAAAATAATTAAAAGAAGGAAAAAAAATTAGAGACATTTTTGAGAATAAAGTTGCCTATATTTCAAGCAAAAGTACGAGACAACTGCCCGTGTTGGCTAAAAATTAAATATAGGCTTGTTTAATGATGTCTTGATGTATGTATTTCATTGAAGAAAATGTATCTATATAGAAACACGAGGGGGGGAGTAAACGACCCTCTTCAATTTCCGAAAATTTCGAAATTTCAACGCAAATTTCATTGCGGCATTTTAAGCATCCTTTACGTACACAAGAATTTGGAGTGATTTTTGAGAATTTTGAAAACGTTCAGGCTTTATGTATAGTCTCACAAAATCGAAAATGTCCGTTTCGAATTCAAGGGGCCATGACGTCAACCAGATTGATCGGGGAATGTCAGTTGTGGGAAAAATCGTATGAAAGGTTTATGCGTGAGCGTTGACCACAGACAAACGTTTTACCTTCAACCTATTTTTTCTCGTTTGCATACGTATGTACGAAGTAATTACGCAATGTAGAGAAAGTTACGTAATATTGCGGGAAGTCTATTTCGAGATTTCACCAAAAATTTATTTAGTGTCCCCTGATATTGAATCTTTCAAAACGTTCGTCAGTCGGTCTGTAAACAACACTAGGGCCTAAACGTATTGTACAATTGTTCCCAAAATGAATATTTTCCGGTCGATCTGGCCCGACCCGAAGCTCTCCAATTTCGAAAATAATTTAAAAAAAATATTTTGGAGTTAATTTACGTGAAGCCCTCCGGACATTTCCAAACTTTTCTTAAAAACTGCTCCAATTTTTTTTTAAATTTCCAGTAAAAATAATAGTAAAATACATCTAAATGTGCCATATAACCGCTTTTCTCTGTTAACTATAAATTTTCCAAATTTTCAAAAAAATTGAATTTTTTTCGTAGTTTTCCTATAACTACAAAATTGGTGATACAATATTTTTCCTTGAAATGAAATGTTTTCTCATAATTAGTTCTTTCGCTATGATAATGTACATTTTTTAAATAGTTTTCACGCAATATTGCAAGCAATATGTGCAATTTCAAAAAATTACCAAAACAAACTTTTCTCAGAAAGGTTCCATTTTTTTCTTTACTACTTGATAGGAATAGTGTTAACTACAAGATGACATAAACGCCGTAATGCTCTATCCTTTTGTTTTGTTTTTAAAATTTCGTGTAATTTTTTTAATTGTCTCACGGCGTTAATATTTACATGGCGGCAATTTGTTTACATATAATGTATTTATGACATGTGCTGTAAATAAAGTCAGATAAAGTTTCTAGTAAACTCAAGTTTTCTAATAAAATGTGCTCAAAATTCCGCCTTTTCAGAAACACTCAAACGCCATTTACTCATAAACAGCTCAAAATGTTTTCTTCAATCTTTTCGAACGGATAGTGCTAATTGCACTGTTTTAGATGGCATAAAATAATGTTGCTGTCTTTTTTTTTTTCAAAAATTCCACATGTCATTTTTTTAATGATTCCCTCACGCCATTAATATGCACAGTTCCAGCGATTTGTAAACATTATTGTATTTGTGACTGGAAGTACTTGAAATGACTTCATATGAACTATGTAGTTTTCTCCGAAAAGATGGTTTAAATTGTGCATGTACAGTGCGCCTAAATACCATTTAGAGAGAGGTTTTACTGTTCTTTAATATTGTTAAAATAAGAATTGCGTTCTACTATTCGGAAAACGAAAAATTTAGAATATTTTTCAAAAATGTTCTTTAATATTCTTTAAATAATATTTGCGTTCTATTATTCGGAAAACGAAAATTAAGTATATTTCAAAAAAATACTTTGCGGTAGACGTTAGCTTGCAAGATGCGTGGCAAGCCCGAATAGCTAGCAGACACCAAAAGAAATACTGTGCCATTCGATAGCATCACTAATTTATAACTTTCGTCCGGCAAGGCCCTTTTCTTGGCGATTCCCGAGTCTGTATAAGTGACTGCTGTCGTGAGTTTTGATAGATTCTTTTACGGTAAAAATTGTCAGATATTTTGTGGAGTGTCATTGCTGGTCTAAGGCATTTGGAGAGAATGTATTGTATGAAACTGTACATTTTTTTATTATCTTGTCAAGGATCAAGGAAAAGTTAAGTATTGAATAGTAATAGATTGAGAATTATTTCATTTTTGTGCGTTCTTAGGTCTTATTACCTTACCTATCTTACGTACCTATTATTTACTTCAACTCTACGATTCGAATCGGTCGTAAATTCCTTGTTTTATGTCTTTTTGAACTGTAACTAGGCGCATAACTTCAGAATTAAGGTCTCTTCCAAAGGTGCTAGTGCTAAGACGGTTAATATAGGTAGAGAGAAGATACGTGCAACTTCGTATTGGAAAATCGTGATTGATGGATGTGCCTCGCAACTGTGAAAGCTTGGTTAGATGATTTTGAGCTGTAACTTTATAAATATGTCAGGAATAAGATCTAATTGTGTTGTTGCAGAGAGCATTAAATGTGAGGATGGAGGGCGGACTTTACATGAAGCCCCTGTGACATTTTCAGACTTTTCTGTAAAAAGACTGAAAATTTATTCTTAAATTGCTTGAATACAAGAATGTGAACTTATAAATATGGTATAGTTCTTTTTTCATTATATCTGGCATTTAGAAACTGGCATTAAAAAAAATTAAAACGCTAAGGATTTTCGTTTTGAAAGAAATTTGAGAAATTTCGTGATAATTTTTTGCTTTAAACGGAAGGTAATGGGCCATGTGTATTTAC